GACCAATTGGGATAGGCCCATGTTTATCATGGATTCCATGAACTTCCGAGCTCCCACCCAACAATCAATGTGAACCTCAGGAATTTGGTACTTTTGAATAGTAAGTTACATTTCCTATATCCTTTTTTTTTAGAATGTTTACTTCTTCCACTTCATCTGCTGATATGAGAAGAGTCAAAGGTCAATGGGGAAGTACATACTTTGCATGTATAAATTCAGTTCCTGGCATATACCACTAAAAGTTGGAGGTAGTAGTATTATGAAAACCATTTCCTGAGAACTTTTTGCTCATGTTGGCTGCTAACCCAGAGTTCCAGCTTTCAGCAAAGTTATTACATATGGAGCCCTAGGCACACAAATTGAATACATGCATGCAAAAAAACAACAACATATACTTTCATCTAATATACATACAGAAATTCAAGTGCAGAACACTTGAAGACAAAACTACATACCACTGTATACCACTCCTGACTAATGTTAGTGTTAAAGGGTTACTGGATGCCAGAGTACAGCTAATGTCAGAAGCAAGTTCACATGAAATCAGAATAATAGTTCCCTCTGTTTCTTGTGGGAGGAAGAGGTCTGCATGATACATAATGTTTACAGGTGGTAGTTAGCATATACTTACTCTTCTTCTGTATAATAGCATGGAGCTCAAAGTAAATGAAGAAATGCTGAATGTGCCAAGGCAAATAAGCAATTATGCTAATAACATGAACAATGTGCAGTTTCCATTTTGTCGGCAGTAAGAGAGAATGTATGGACAGAGGAGGATCTGTTGTTGAGAGGGGGACACTTAACCCTTTCTGAGAACATCAGTTCCCCCCTACAAATGCTCTCTGGAGGCTGCAATTCCCTAGCCAGGCTTGCTTCTGATTTTGAAGCCCAACTGTAGAGAGGACCCTTCAAAACCACTGGGAACCAGCATTTGCAAGGGGAAGTTGTGAGTACAGAGAGTTAACAATCACATTCCATCATGCTAAAGTTCTTTCCAGGAATACATTTCAGATTGGTATTAGGATCCATGCACCCTTTTTTATGTTAAAATAGCCTCAATTCCAATAAGATTACCTATTTTTCTGCTTACAAAAGTAATCTTTTGTAAATTGTCCCTTCTTTGGACAGATTAATGCTTCTATTTTGCTGTTGTTGTTCCTTCTCTTCCTCTTCCTGAAGGCAAAAAAAAAAAAAAAAAAGGCTCTGGAGGCTGAAATATGAAGAGAAATCTATCTGCAGCCAAAGCCTAATAGTCCTTGCAATTCTTATGGCCCCCTATTTCCAGTTAGGAAGGTCCCACTAATTCTCTTTCTCTAGGTTGATGATGAAAGGGGAGGAGGAAGCCCACAGCAGTTTTCTGGGTCCCATAATAGAATTTCTATATAATAACTTTGTCACATTTGATGCAGCTCCTACACACTATTCCTGGCTCTCTGTGCAGGATTGCTAAGTAATTTACAGTGAAGTCCTACTCAGCAATAAGACCCATTGTGTGACGTTCCATTTTTAGAGGCAGGCTTTTAAACCAAACACAATTTAATATTCTTGTGAAGGGAAAGAATGAAGGAACTACCTGCAACTATTTGTTACTATGGATTTGGGATAGTCTACAGACAAATGGGGGAAGTCAAATATAAAAAGGAAAGGCAAATTGGGTAGTGTGTGTGTTTCCTGAGGCATACGTGTGAGTTCATTTTATGACACAAAATAAAAATTAGATCTTGTGCCAATCTTGAGGGAATATCTGTTTACTATTTGCATTCCATATATTCACTAGTAGATGTCTGAATATAATATTGTTCTTAAGAGTGATTTTGCTCAAAGTTGTCAAAAGAAACAACCAAGGTTAGAGAGCAAATGTGCAGATAATGAACAGCATCCTGTCAGCTGTAGGCAAGCATGTACTTAAACCAGGAGTAGGCAACTTTTCCCCTTTAAGGGCCAAGGGACTCCAGCTCCCAGAATCCCAGGAGCTATTGGGGGAAGGTTGCCTACCCCTGACTTAAACAAATGCATTCAACTCAGGAATCTTCAGTTTGTTTCAGAAAACATTTTCCACCAGGACTATTTTGAAGTGAATAGATGTAATTTACAGGCTAACTCCACTCCATGAACACAAGCCATCAGCAGATTCAGAAAAACATTATTCAGAAAGCAGAGTTGGTCACAGTACATAGCTTTCATCAGGACTGAATAATTTTTCCAGTTACACCAGGGGTAGGCAACCTTTCCCCTTTAAGGGCCGAGGGAC